TAACATCACGGTATAGGGGCTGGGGATTTAGCTCAGAGGCACAGCGCCTGCCTGGCAAGCGCAAGGTCGTGAGTTTGATTCCCGGTACTGGAGAGAAAAAAAAAAAAAAAAATCACGGTATTTTGTATAAAAAAACAAAAAGAGCCAGATATGAGATGACTGGCAGTGGCAGGGCAGTTGCCTAACATGTGCAAGGCCTGGGATCAGTCCCTAGAACCACACCAAACAAACAAGCGAACAAACTCACAGGTGGCGCCAAAATACAAAGATTTATAGTCTGTGGCTGTGGTTTCCTACACCTCTAAAACCCAAAGTTCTGTCTTCTGGCTTAAACCTTCAATGGCCGCTTTGTTCCATTTTATTGAGATAAAGTCCCAACTTCTTGGTGTGGCCTTCGAAGCCCTGATCTTCTGATTCTAAAATACACTTGCCTGCCACTGAGGGCACATGGGGCGTCCATGTCACTACGAAGATGGTGGCCCCAACCTGCTCGCCATGAGTACCTTCTGTTTGGAGTCCAGGCCAACTCCTATTAACAAAAATGGTGACGTGGTGACAGGAACAGAGGTCCCTTCCACAGCTCTGCCTCTGTGTGAGGCATGGGTTCAAAGCACTTTTCCACACACTGACCAGGTCTCCCGTGCAACCTCGTCAGTGGGGCCATTTCTCCTCCATTTTCCAGACGAGGAAGTGCAGCCAGTCAGCCTCTCACCTTGCTCAGAAAGCGCAGAGCTGCACTTGAACCCTGTGGTCTGGCCCGGAGGCCAGCACCCAGCCTCTCCCATTGTGCACTCTTCCCTTGCTGTGTCCACATCTGTCCCTCGGGCTGTCACAGCTGCAGGCTGCAGTCCCTGCCCTGGGGTTGCTTACAGTCCAGCAGAGGGCAGAGAACAGCAAGACCAGAGCAAGCATGGAAGGAGGCCACAGTGCCAGCAGCTTACAGGTAGATTCTTCGTTAAACTCCTACCCACTGAACAGCTATTTAGATTTACTGCCCACTGCTCGGATTTACAACCTGTCTTTTTTTTTTTTTTTTTTGGTACAGTTCTATACATCTTGTTTATAGAGCCTCAATGTCCTTTTAAAATTTTTAAAATTTATTTTTTTGTGCATGCTTCGAGACAATGTCTTGCTATGTAGTTCAGGCCGGCTTGAACTCACTATGTAGCACAAGCTGGCCTCAAACTTGTAATGATTCTCCTGCCTCAGCCTCCCAAGTGCTGGGATTTCAAGCACTAGGTATGTTGCACCACCACACCTAGCTTTTCAACATCTTTTTTTGGTACAGTACACCTTGATTATAGGGTACTATAATTTTTGCTGCTTGTATTGCACTGTGCTGTAGTTTTATGTTCTGTTATACACCACAATACTGCATGTGAGAGCTATGCAAATAAAAGCAAAGTCATCAAGTTGGAGTTTCCTTTAACCATTTCTTTCTTCTGAATATTGTAAGGTACATACTACATACAATGCCACATGTATCTACCTAATCCCAGCAACTTCACTCCACCAGGAAGTGAGGAAGGTCATGCTTACAGATCTTTGATAGGAAATCTCTGGCTTTTCAGGCACTGAAAACACTTCAGAAATCCTGGCAAGGGGCTGGGGCTGAGCTCAGTATCTCAGTAGCACAGCTATGTATGTGAGCCCCTGGATTCCAACTCCAACGGCACTACCAAACAATTAAAAAAAAGTTGTTTTTTCTTTTTTTTTCGTTTCTTTTTGAGACAAGGTCTCGCTATGTAGTTCAGACTGGGCTTGAGCTCACTTCGTAGCCCAGGCTGGTCTCGAACTCACAATGAT